TAGGTTAGTGTTATCACAAAAACCTCATCCAATAGTTGTTTAATATACATGTATGATAAATGAACTGTTTATGGTCTTTAACAGTGGAAACGCGTCCATAGATTTGGATCCGAGTCTGTTGGAAGAGAGTGATGAAGATGTTGACTTCCTGTGTCAATGAAGCGGTGGCCATATGAATTATTGAAGGATTACATACTTGCTGAATTCTAAGACTTTTAAAATTAACGTAGAAAGATCAATTAAGTTTAATGGGGAATTTTTAAATCGCGAACATTATTGACCAAAAGTTATTGTTATAAGATTGCAATTGGTTACAGTACAGGCATTTTTATAGATCTGTTGTATTTTATATCAGCTCTTTATTTCATTGTACATAGGTTCTTTTTACCGCGTAAAAGATCATACATTATTAAGGTAGTTACGGTTATTTATTGTGCAAGCTCCGTCAACTTAGTACATCCTGCTAACCATGTACTAATTCGTTATGTTCATGTTTAACTTTGCCTTCAGTCGTAAAGTGCTGTCGACTTTGCAGCGCTGGAAAGACTATCTTTCACTACAGTCAAATCCCAAAATTTGAGTGCATTTTGCAGGAGGCAGTTATATCCCCTTTGCTCTCCAGTTGCAGTTTGACTTATTTTAGGGTGCTTTTTTTCAGTAGAATCTACCGGTTCCTCAATGGAAGTCAAGTGATATGCTAACAACAGTTTCAAAATTATGATCAAGTGAGAGGGAACTTTTAGCAGAGATCCACGTGTAAATTTAAAAAAATCAATCCAGTTCGTGTTTGTTTTTTATAAAACAACCGCCATAGCTCAAAGAACAGCTCTCTTTATTAAAGTAGAGTAGGTGTAAAAAGCTTTGTATGTATTTTATCAGTGTTAATTTTTTTTTTAGTTTATTTTTTTGTTGTTGTGATATACATAAAAGCTAAGGTTAACAAGATAGTTTTATTTTATTTTAGTGGATAGGTAACAAGGTCAGTTACTTTACTGGAGTAACCGTAAATCCTTTTCTTTTCATTTGTTACTGTTCCTCTGTCAACATGCAAAGTCTCCTCGCTGGTTTACGTACATTTCTTTTTATACTGGCTGGGAGAATTTGACTGTTCATCGTACATCATCATACATCATTTATCACATCGTTCGTTCACACGACCCACAGTGTATAATGCTCTTAGGCTGAAAGTATTAAATGACTTATAACGAGCGTTTTACGAAGTCACTGCTGAAATACCCTCAACAATAAACTCGGATAAATTAAGAACAAAACAACTGCAATTGTAACCATTTTCTATTACGCTGTACGTAACTTTGGGTTTTTGGCAGATTGCGCGACGTGTAAGAAGAAGTATTAAAACGGGAACCCTTGCCATTGTAAAAACAAAATAGCCAGTGAACATGAAATAACTGACTATTTCAATCGTATGACAATCTTGGCATTACTTGTACGAAGGATGCAGCAGAGCTGTAGTTATTAAAAACATTTGAAGACTTGTCTGTTCAGTGGTGGAAATAGATTCACAACTAGCCTAGCCTGTGTAGCAAGCGCTCCCTTCCGCATTCTAGGCCGCGCGTAAATTGGAGCGAGAGCAAAAATTCGACGAGGAAGGGAGTGGTGGGGCGAGAGAGGGTTCCCTCTCTCGCTCCACCTCTCCCTGCTTCGTCGAGTTTTTGCTCCCGCTCCAATTTACGCGCTGCCTAGAATGCGGGAAAGCTCTTCGTACGGAAACGCTTGCTACGCAGGCTACAGCTAGCCTGCCCCACTAACCCGCTTTAGCCTGTAGACATGTTCCCTGGTGGTAGATAGGGTTGAAAGAACTGGGAACAAGCGATAGGTTGCGAGAGATGAGAGCCGGTAGGTAGGAGACAGTGAAGGTTGGGAAAAGAATTGGAAGGGAACCCTTTCCTTAAACTCGCTCGGTTTTCTTCCTTCCCTCTGTCCTAATTTTGAAAGTCTTCGCAGGCTTTATTCACTTAGCGGAGGAGCGGGAGGGGTGCTGCCTGTGTGTCGGTAGGTATGCCTAGCAAAGGCAACGAAGAGCTTTTTACGCATTCTGGCCGCGCGAAAATTGGAGCGAGAACGAAAAAATAAAAAACCGGCGAGGCAATTTACAATTTGCACGCGGCCAGAATGCGGAAAAAGCTCTTCACAAGACAGCATTTCCGTCATATCTCATTCTCGTCCCCAGAGGCCGCGCTACTTTTGGTCAGCACCAAGAATCGCGACCTCTGGCCGGACCTGATTTTCTTTGCATGAGAGTTCGTTTCGTATTCTCAGCCAATCAGAATCGCGGACTTCCGGTGTTGGACCAGCCCAGAGGTCGCGATTCTTGGTGCCGACCAAAAGGAGCGCGGCCTCTGGAGACGAGAATGGTCTTATCTTCTCTCCTTCGGTAAGATTTGGAGAAAAAGAGCGTGAAGACTTCATCTAAGGTTTGAGGGTTTTATTAATTTGTTAATTTTGTAACTTTACCAACCCGAAGCCATTTTGTAAGATCAAAACCTAAGGAATGGTACTGTGGGTTTTGGCTCAATAACTAGTCCATCCTTTTTCGCTTCCTCGTGTTTGTAGCGATGCTCCGGCGGCCCGAATCAAGGGCCGCTAAGTGGAGCACAACTACAGGAAGAGAACAACATGAATGCATAGAAATAAAAAACCATGCAACTATTTTTCCACGGTCAACATGGTTAGCGGCGTGGATCGCGGGCGCCCTACGACGAAAACGTCTTGCAACATAGCGGCCATACTCCAGCTAATAGGTCGACCGAGGCATTCAACCATGATTTACGGCATACATATTTGATATTGGACATTCATGTTATGGTCAATTGTTATGTATCACGTGATCATATCGCGCGCTCAGGTTTAGAATTAATTGAGGTCACGTGTTTTTCTTGAAGTTGACCGCTGACCAGGAACTAATTTTTCGATTGAATCGCGGGCTCAAGCCAGTTTAATTTATCGTTATTGGAGCTCCACTTTTAGGCTTGGCTAAATCTATATATTATTGCTTGAGTTTCAAAACTTAATATGTCGATCTTGAATAAAAACACGGCAAACACAAAACAGCTTTTCCAGACCAGGGTGGTCAAGGTCCATAAACGTGTGACAAAAATATGGCAGACATCCAGCCAACTTTGTGGATTTGTTATTACAGGACAACATTTTCTTGTAACAAAATGTGGGAAATCAATGGCCCCATCTTGCCCACTCACGTGGCCATTCGCAACAAACGTCTTTAGCTGCCTTTCAAAATGATACAAAACTGTACACAGGTCATGCCAGAAGGTTTTTATTTTACCCTCAATCCGTTAAGGTTATACTCTATACACTGATCATCTTAATATCCAAATTACGCACTTTGCAGGTATTTCAAATGAACAGCAAATACTTACAAAAATCATTGCTATAAAAAGAGAAATCAAATTGCCCCTGACTGTTTGGGACTAATAGTATACTAGTGAACTGGAATTCTCTTATAAATACTGTTTAGTATTACAGCAGGGCATGAAATTTTTTGTGGGATCTAATTTTTGCAGATTTTTCATCAATCCTTGAAAATTAAATCCCATGAAAAAAAACTCCTGCCAAAAAAAATTTGCAAAAATTTACACCTTTTATTTGCAGAGCTGACTTTCAATGGAATTGGTTGCAAACAGTGTAACGAAAACATGACTTCCGGTTTTGTTACTTTCAAGTACTGTACATGAAATCCGCAAAAAAATTATTCCCAGGAGTAAAGTCTGAAATCCAAATTCACGAAAATTTGTTCCCGCAAAACTCGAAAATCCAAAATCCATGAAATTAAACTCCCACAAAAATTTCATGCCACAAGGTATAAACTAGATCTGAAATTACAGCTAGCAATTCGGGTAATGGGGATGGTTGTAATGTTGTATTAACATTGCCTAAGGAGTGTTAATTCTAAGGTAAAACAAACTGTGGAAATCTCGCAAAATATCATTTTAAATTAAATATAAAAAAAAAACCCAACCTAAATGGTAACCAATGGTTTACAAATGGGCATCCACATCACTGCCAGTAGTCTTCACAATAAGCCAACTAGCAAGCTCACTCCTGTGACGTCACATGCAAGGGGTAATAATACAGAGACAAGTTAGCTTACACAGCTAGACCCCATTTGTGAGCCTATGGGTTGGGGGGTGGGGAAGGCATAAGGGAGAGGGAGGGGATTTCATTGAGGCGCAGGGCACCGGGTAAATTGGCCGTTTGTGACGACGATTTGTCCAGCTCGTTCGACAATCTAGAGGAAAGTTTTTTTCTTATATTAGAACTAGAGTTCAAACAGTTTTGCCCACCTTTGAAAACCAGTTGCCCTCCTGCAAAAAACTTCAATGAAACCCCTGGGAGAGGGGGATTTGAAATTTTAACTTTCTGTACCATTTACTCCCAGTTCCTATGTTTTTGTTGGTGGCTTCCACCTCTTAGTGCTTTTTATATTACAAAATATCACACAATATTACAATTTTTACCTATTTCTCCTAGCTCCCCTTCCCTCCCAATTGGAATTCTACTCTCAGGGAATCTCACCCTCTCTACAGCTGTGGCCTGCATTGCAGGCATAAGTGGTAGGAGAGGCAAAACACTGCCCCTCCTTTTGCATCCCCACTCTCCTGGCCTTCATAGCAGGCAAAATGGGGGAGGGAGGGAGGGAGAGCGAGAGCGGGGATAGAAGGAGGGGGCCTCACATTTTTTGCCTCCCTACCCCTTCCCTGTTTGCACATTGCAGGCTACTGCTCTGCCCCCCCCCCCCCCCCCCCCCCCCAAGGTATTTCGTCTGTATACCAGTCGTATTTCAAGCGTCTGGAGACTGAACTTTGTAAGGAACTTAACGTCGCGGAGGACCACTTTTGGAATTTCCTGTGTGGCGTCACAGCTGCAAGAGAGCCATTGCCACTCGGTTTCGTGTCTAAATTGTTGCTACCAGGTAAATCGACATCATTGGCTCGGCGAAAAGTAAATGTGGCTATTGCGTGCGTCTCGGCACTTTTACCCGTTCAAGACGAGTGCGTTCACTTCTTTCACAAGTCGGTCAAAGACTGGTTGATTGAAAAATCTAACCACGGACAGCACCACTTCAATGTGGACGAAAAAGAAGGCCATGAGGTCCTTTCTAAGCTCTGCATTGATGAGCTTGATGAGGTGAAACGAAAAGGCGTTGACGGCGCACAGTTCCCTGACACTGCAAAGTACGCTCTGCGACATGGAGTTCAACACATGCTACAACTAGAGGATGCGKGAGTATACAGCCTTGAGGACGTTGTTACAAAATTTGTTTTGGACATAGAGCTTGTGTACGCAAAGTTGTGTGTGAATGTTACACTGGCGTTTGAAGACGTGGTTTGTGTTCAGAAGCAAGTGGGCATCGAAAAATGTCATGGCGCCCTTAACACTTTGTTGGTGTTGTTACGAAAGCATATTGCCAGATTAGAAATACTTCCTCACACCATCTTTCAAACCTTGTTGAACGAGGGCGGACCTGAACTGTCATCTCAAGCTTTAAACCTTTTAGAGACGAAATATTCTGAAATGGCGTATATGGAATANGAAAAATGTCATGGGGCCCTTAACACTTTGTTGGTCTTGTTACGAAAGCATATTGCCACATTAGAAATACGGCCTCACACCATCTTTCAAACCTTGTTGAACGAGGGCGGACCTGAACTGTCATCTCAAGCTTTAAACCTTTTAGAGACGAAATATTCTGAAATGGCGTATATGGAATACTTGCACAAGAAGGACCTGCAGGGGCGTGTTCAAGCCAAATTTGAATGTTCAGCTACCGTAGTTTGTTTTGATGTTTCACCGCGGTTAGACTACATGGTGTGCGAATGTGACGATAACACGATACAGCTATGGTCACTCTATACCGGCCAGCAGTTATGGAAACGACGTGTGAGGGTAAGGAAGTGTTACTACCACTACTATGATGACTTTGATGATTGTCCTATCTACGCACCATACAGGGCAACGAAAAATTACTACGGTCCTCCCCAGTCATTGTACCGCTCAGTAGTGTTTCATCCTACTGAGGACCTTGTCTTACCAGGAATCCTCGCCCTTGCGTACACGTTTGACGGGGACCTGAAACCACTTTTTCCTTCAAGCAAGTGTCGTTTCTCGGTCTGTTCAATCTCTGCAGACAAGATCAAGATGCTAACTCATTGCCCCAGCGATGCTAAATCAATTATCATGTGGAGTCTGACAGATGGCTCAGAGATAAATCGTTTCATATGGAGTGACGAGATTTTGTCATTTGCTTGGTCTCGCGAGGGAAGACTGCTAGCACTTTCTGACGTTTCTGGTTCAATTGGTTTGCTTGACGTAATGGATGATTATAGAACTCTAGCACAGAGAACTATTCCAGAAGTATGCGGAATGATAAAGTTCTCCCCTGACTGTCGATACCTTCATTGCTTGGTTTTCAAGAGTGCTAGGACGGATCTCTTTCGTTTAGACGTCAAGATGGAAAATGACGGCACCTTTTCTTTAGATGTTTTTCCTGATCAAGTGCTTTATCAGCCGTGGGAATTTGAATCGTGTAGTGAGACCGGATTTTTATTAGGAGATCCTTTTTACTCTTCATTTGAAAGAGATACCTTGCTCCCAGGACTTGCTTTTGTGCTGAATAAACAATCTGTATTGAGAGTTTCTAATCGTGATTACATCGTAGAGATGTTGCAGCTTGATGAACTGACGAAAGATAGTGCAAGAGTTTTAATGACTATTGTGACGAATGTCGTATTATCATTGATTGGTGACACACTGTTTTTTATCACTACAACAGATGGCAGTCCAGCAACACTTATGGGTTGGGACATTTCAAGTGGCATGTTCAAACCTGGAAAAAGAGTTTTTGAAGACCCTGGTTGGCTCAGTGCATATAATCTTGTAGCTGTAAGAGAAGGTGTTTTGTTGCAAACCAGGCGCGACACCCTTGAGCTATGGAATTTTGAGTTGTCTGAGTGCATCCGAAGTTGGACTGACTTAGAGTTCCTCACTGAAGTAATCCCCATATCAGAAGATCGAGTGGCCTTTGACGGAGGGAGGAAAGTCATCATTGTGGATACAACCAGGGAAGGCATTCTGTCAACAATTCCTATTCATGGTCGTTTTATTGCATGTAACAGTAAATGTCACGTGATAACCACTGATCATGGGGAATTGCAGATGCAATGTGGAGACAAAGTACTCTGGAAGATGTCCCTGCTTTCCAAATCTTTTCGCTTTTCTCCATGCATGGCATTTTCTCCTACTGAACAGTATTGCGTACTTGCTGGACGCGAGGAATTTTCCGAAAACCTTTACGTCCTCGATTTAGTTTTAGGAAAAACACTGTGCACATTACGATCATGTATTCGTGAGCTCTGGTTTACCGTATACCAAAATTGCAAGTTTGTTAGTGACGAGGAGTGCGTTGCCTGCTTCAGTAATGAATTAACAGGTCATTTTCTTCAGCTGTTTAATGTTAAGTCAGGTGACCTGCTGAGTGAAATTGCTCTGGAAAGCCGTGTGTACAGTTTAGCAGCTTGTCCTCATAAGCGTCTTATCGCCATTGGCTTTGAAGATTCCAATGTGAATTTCAAAGTTCTTCAGGTGAAGTTGCCAGGAGATAAACACAGCAGGAATAGCAAAAGGTCAGGTTTTATTAATAAGGAACAAAGTTACAATACAATGACTTCAACCGAGCCACCTGAGAGATTTTAACCAATCACAGTACGATTTTCCAACAGAAGAATCTAAGTTGATCTCACCAATCATGTTCGAATAGCGCAATTCTTAGCCCTTGGAACGGACGATTTTGATTGGCTGCTAACTGGATTCAAATTTCTTGATTTGAACAGCACCACAAGCGAGCGATAAGAATAATTCAGTTGAACCAAGCACGTAGAAAACAATGCGTCACGATAAAGAGACAACAAATGATAATTTTGAAGAAATAATTTTCAACTCGACTTAAAAATCCGGTTCTTTAACGAAAACAATTTTGAATCCAGCACAAGATAGCTAACACCCTGAGTCTGGCAACAATAATAATTGAATGCATGACAAGTGACCATTCAGAGTGCACGTCCTTGGTTCAGATTATTTTTGTCGCTCATTTGTCAAGCTGTTCAAATCAACGGCAACAGCGAACATTGACGCTGCTCCAACCACGAACAAACTCAGCTACGTATGGCTCAAACTCGTGCTGTGATTGGCTGAAAACTCTTTGGGAACCCATTTGAAGTCACTACACTGTAAAAGCAACACAGAGACTTAAAATTGTTTAAAACATTTATCAATACTAATATCAGTGTGGTAACCGCGATATCAACATAAAACTTGCATTAGAAATGAAATTATGATAAACGTGAAACTCGGTGAACAATAATACAACTTCGACCAGTTTGTCCCGAGCACAGGACAATGGGGAGAAAATCTAAGGTCCCCGCGGGATTCTAACCAATGAACTACCGTATACCAGTCGAGTGCTCTGACCACTGAGCTTCTGATAACCCCTGGTGAGTTCGGTCATTTTACAAGATTCCGTAGGGACGTGATTCTTGCAGTATAGGCAGGGCGCATGTCTCTATAGTACCTAGTAACATTATTTAGCTCATCAAGAGCTCTGTGTAGCTCAGTGGTTAGAGCGTCCAACTGGTTGCGAGAGGTCATAGGTTCGAATCCAAGTGGGGAGTCTTCCAATAAAACTTTTCATTGTATTTCCTCTCGGTTTGTTGATTCTTTTGTCCTTTAATTCCTCCTCCCCCATCCCAGGCCTGTGTGACTGAAATAAAAGAATTTAAGTATTTGTTCTTGATTCAGTTACATGTTTCACTGGTAAATAACATGCATGTGTGGTCTTCATACACAATTACAATGATCCGAGTGTATGATTAGACTGGCCAGCTTATTGTACATCATGTTGTTTATGTGATCTCATATTTCAATTTGACTTTTTCTTCTTTCGTTTTTTGCGACAGGATCAAGCCTAGAGAGTGATAAGAGTACACTGCAGGTAGTTGGAATTTCCAGACGAATCCACTGACTGGATGATGTAGTAGTAAACTGATCGAGTACCAGCCAGTTGAGCAAGAAGAGGACAGACTTTGTACTAGAAGAATTAGAAGAACGTGTAAGGTGCGCAGGACCAAAGAATCGCGCGATCCTTCGGTCACGAATTCTTTCTATGAACTTCTGTGAGAACTGAAAGGTTTAAAATTGCGAAAAAGAATNTATGATAAACGTGAAACTCGGTGAACAATAATACAACTTCGACCAGTTTGTCCCGAGCACGGAACAATGGGGAAAAATCTAAGGTCCCCGCAGAATTTGAACCTACGAACTGCCGTATAACAGTCGAGTGCTCTAACCACTGAGCTCTGATAATCCCTGGTGAGTTCGGTCATTTTAATATATTCCGTGAGAACATGATTCTTGCAGTGTAGGCAGGGCGCATGTCACTATAGTACCAAGAAACATGACCTAACTCACCAGGAGTTGGGTGTAGCTCAGTGGTTAGAGGGTCCAACTGGTAGCGGAAAGTCAAAGGTTCGAATCCTATCGGGGACTCGGAATTTTTCCCAATAAAACTTTTCATTATAGCTTGTCTCTCGTTTTCATCAATTTCCTCTCGGTGTTCAGTTTGGTGATTCTTTTGTCCTGTAACTCCTCCTTCCCCATCCCAGGCCTATATGACTGACATAAATGAATGAAAATATTACCTCTTGATTCAGTTACATATTGCACTGGTAAATAACATGCATTTGTGGTCTTCGTACACAATTAGTAATAGTAATTGGACCGAGTGGAGTACAATTCAGGGAGTAATCGCGCGAGTAATTTGAAAATTGGACGAACGCGAAGCGCGATGCCGATTTGAAAATACGAGCACGATTACTCCCTGACTTGTACCCCACTCAGTCCAATTGCTAATTAATCGTATCTATAACAAATTTCAGAATAATATATGTTTCTTGAGAACTTCTTTTGAGCGAAAACGTCTGTAACGCTTTTCATAAGTTTTGAAAACTGTGGGAAACAGTGCGAAGGAGGCCATTAAAGCGCGCCCTAATTGACGTGCGAATCACGTGGGTGTCCAATTACGAAAAGTTCAACCTGGATACCTGTAATTGGACACCCACGTGATCGCGCGCCGATCACGTGAAAAATAGGCGCACGGAGGACCAATCACGATCGAGAATTTTGTCATAGATACGATTACAATGATAAGTGTGTTTGATTAGGTTGGACATGCTATTGTACATCATGTGTTTCATGTGATTTCACACGTCGATTTTGTTTTGTTTTTGTTTTGTTTTGTCTTTTTTACAACAGTATCGAGCCCAAAGAGTGAAGAGAGTACAGTACCAGTTGGAATATCCAGCCGAGTCTGTTGACTGGAGGACGCATTAGTAACTGATTAAGATTCCTAATGCCTTTATTCTGACAGGCTTCTGGTACCAATGTCTTGTGTAATGCAATAACAAGGTGCAACTAGACTGACAAAGGCATTTGTAGATGTTCCATTCGCTGCAAAACTGGAAGGAAATTTTTGGACTGGTAGAACTTTAGTCCAGAATCTGAGTCAAATGAATGAAATTTTGTCCATGGCTCGAACATGTATAATATCAGAAAACGCATTATCAGTTCTGGGAAATACAGTTTATGTAACGTTTGTACAACCTGCATGTTATTTAGGCTTTGTAAAAATTGTAATTTATAAAAAGCTTGAAGACGGAGCTATTCAATTTATTTAGGCTTTGTTAATTGTCGGAAGTATAATTTGTTTCGGTTTTGTAGGAAATGCAATTTATTTGGACCCTGTAGAAAGGTATTTTCTTACCTATTTTTCTATACACTTCACGAAATAGTAGTTTCATACTGTTTTCACCAAGAGCTTTTAAAATTATAGGAGCTTCTGACCTTAGAGACAGAAGATAGAAAACCTGTGAATATTGTATGGAAGTTTCCAGTGTAGTATTTAGTGAAAAAAAAAAAAAAGTCGATTTAAGGAAGACACAATTAAATTGAATTATAATAGAAGATTTGTTTTTTATAAGAAGTTCAGTTGTGCTAGGTTGGCTGTAGCCTCCTACGGAGACGCTCTTTTGGCTCGTCGGGAAATCTTGGAAGGAGCACAAAGAATGTCTCCGCATGGAGGCTACTAAGTTGGCTGGCAAAGGAGGTTGAAGTCAGCTTGAACTAGAATTAATCACCTTGGCGAATTTAAGAAGCATTAAGCTGACATTGCTATTGTCATCCCTTTGTAGTAGCTAAGGGCTACCGAGATAATTAAATGCGAAAGCCTCCTTTCTAATTGAACCACCCCTGCTCCCAGTCAATGTGCGCACATGTTATCAGCCAACCAGAGACGCCAAAAGAATTTGTAGATGACATCATCACGTGATCATCATCGTGGAATGTCAGGAGTTAGACAAGAGACAAAACTGGCTTTCTAATAGGCCACGTTCTATATTTCAATATTCTAACATGGCTCCGAGGCTTTCAGGTCAAAGTGGCAAGTTTTTTTTACGTTTTGTCCCTCGATTCCCAAAGGAAAACACCACCAAATATAGAGGTTTGTCCTAAAACTCTCGGAGCCATGTTAGAATATTGATATCGTAAGCGCGTATACTCAGGCTAGCTTCGCCTACCCCTCCCGTGCAGCCGAGCCTAGATTGTAAGATTTTCGCATACAGGCTAGTCCGTCCCGTAACTATTCTTATGTTCTCTCTGTAAATTAACCAGCTGTTGGAGTACATGCTGATAATTTCAGCAGATAGAGGATCAAGACCAAGTCGAACAATTGCATCGTCCACAAATTGTACGCAACGAGACTCGAAATGATAGAAACGCCTCCAAATAATAGAAAATTAAGATACAATAAAAAGCGCCCCCAAAAATGGCGCGTACACTCGCCATATTCGAAGAGCATGGTATAAATAAACAATAGCCTCCATTTTGCGCGAAAATATATATATGTTATTTGGCGGCTAGGAAGTGTTATTTGCCTGCGGCCTCAGGCAGCATTTTCATGACCTTGGTCACAGTTTTTCACTATACGGACCTCCCAGCCGGCAAATAACATATATATATTTTCGCACCAAATGGAGGTTATTGTGTTTATTATCCTTCAAATCTTTTTCGCAACACGCGCAGTTTTGAAAATTGGGGAATATTCTCGGATATCCCCCAGTTTTAGCTGGGGAATATTCGGTCACGTGACGTGTTTAGACCAATCGCACGCGAGCGAAAATATATTTGATGGATTATGGTAACTCAGATACCATGATGGCTAAGCCAATGAAATCTCTTCAAATGCATTATCCAATGATCCGGTTTTTATAATGGAGAATATCTCAGAAATATTTCCCAGTTTTTACATGCAAAAGATCCCGCGTGTTGCGAAAAATATTTGAAGGATAATAACCACAATACTCGGTTCTCCATTTGACTTCGCCCGGATATTTAACAATTATTCCATGAGCGCGCGTTGGATATGAGATGGTAAATAGCCAACGAGGCCCGTAGGGCCGAGTTGGCTATAACCAATCTCATATC